TTTTTTTTTACCTGCAGCATGAACGACCAATCCAAGTGTGGTGGTGACCTTAGAGCTAGCAGTCCTTGCTGCTTCTGGATCTAAAAATGTGGAGAGAACAGATTTACACTTTATACCATTCTAATTGGTGAAAAACAAAAACACCAGCGTCGTACTGACCATCACTGCTGTGCATGTGAGAACTGCCGATCTGATCCACCAGCAGCATGAAGACGAAGCCCAGCACCAGAGAGACGCCGATATACGCGTGGAGCTGCTCGTGACTGTGGCCGTGTTCAGTGCTTTGTCCTACGACTCCTTCTACAACCTTCTGTTCAGAAACTTCTGCTTCCACCTGCCCGTGGCCATGGTGGTGCCCACCTAAACCAAAACATGAGTGGACACAGCTTTGGAGTCATTTATATAATCAGTAATGGGAACTAAATAAAGTTGTCACTACTAACATATAGTAGCAAGAAGTTGTGGTTTAGCATGACAAAACACTACGAAGCTATATTAATGTCACAATGTACTTGTGCACAGCATATTATCCAAACCTGCTCTGTCTCATATGAAGTGATGTACAGTTTGATTCATTCCAGTAAAATGTCTTTGTTCGGATACTAGTTAATCTGTAGCGTTTACTAGAGCCCGACCGATATATCGTTTTGCCGATATGAGCCTGTTGTCGATATATCGGTGAATATCCCGCCGATATTAATTTTTTTTTACAGAACATATAACGAAGATAAAATGCTTGAAATGGTGTAATTACTTAGTTTGTCCAGCAGAGCATGCTCCATTGTTTGCTACTGGCGACCTGGATGAAACGCTTTAAAGCTTAAGTCTATGGAAAACCATTGAAACTTTGAATGGCCATATCTCCGTAACGGCGCGGTGAACACTCACCAAATTCTGGTGATCCCTTCAGCTCGAGGAACCCTCTTGAACGCGAATCAAGTGTACGTCTAGAGGCCCACTTTCGAATGAGACCACTGCCGCGTCGATAGCCCCCGGGGTTCGGGAGTGGGGGTGGTTAAATTCGCAGTCCGTCGCCGACCGATCAAGCGATCCCGGGGGGCTACCTACACGCGGAGGGTGGCTTTCAAGAGGGCTCCTCGAGCTGAAGGGATCCCCCGAATTTAGTGGCGCCGCCGGCGCGTTCGCGAGATAGTGACACCAGTCAACACTTTCACTTCAGTAAGGACTTGTTCAAGCAGCAGCATTCAAGCGTTGTCTTATTCGACCGTAAGGGCCCTGCGAAGTGGACTTCACATGAAATTCCGCCATGATTCCAGTTCCAAGGGAACATACACGTTACATTCAAAGGGCATTAAAGTGCGCGAGACGTGAATTTATATTGTATTTATTTACAGAGGTATATTATGTCACGCTTCTCTAGTAAGTTTCATCTGTGCGTGAAGACAGTAGCGCAAATCCGTGAATGAATGTTTCGAAGTTAAATACTAATGGAATAAAGTTGAATGGAATTGAATTAAAGTTGAATAAACTTCAACTTTACCGTTCAGTGCACTGATGTCAGACTCATTTTGGATAATAAAGTTTATTGTTAAATGCCCTGCCTCCATTACTACGTTTTAAATATCCTGTGCATAAGCGCTTATCATGAGATTTTGGCCAAGCGTATTAAACAAGAAAAACTAAGCGCCCATATAGCAACAATAATTATAGTTATATAACCTGTAAAAGTTGATGAAAGTGTATAATGTGAAGCACTTTATTGACAGACAAAACACAGATCTCCTCATTCGCCGGCCAAAAACCTTGTTAGCTCTATTTGAGCTTGTTTTTCATATAGCCTGTTAAGTGCAAGTGTCTGATACAATACCAACACTGACGATGCAGTGTTGTTTAATTATTGACTTTTTTCCCCCTGTAGCCTATTTCAGTAGAATACTCAACCCCCCCAGCGCATGCGCCATACCCTATGGTTTTGTGAAATGCCGCCACTGATGTATATACTGTATTCTATATATAGTACCAGTCAAATGTGTGGACACACGAATGGGAAAGTGTCCAAAGTTTTGACTGGTACTGTACTATAATATACACAAAGAATATCGGCCGATATCTACCTTTTTTTACTCCCTAATATCGGTATTGGTCCCAAAAAACCCATATCGGTCGGGCTCTAGCGTTTACTACTACAGATAAACATCTACATATCAGATAAGGATTTAGGAATGAAGAACTATTAAATATGAAATATTTCGTGCATTGAATAGAAAAGGAATCAATGCATCAACTGAAGCATAAAGTCGAATCTCACCTTCCAGCATTTCCTCATAGAGTGCATGAACTCCCTCTGGAATAATGACAGCCAGCGCAGTGCCACACAACAGCCCGGCTCCCAACACTGTCACCAACTTCAGCTTCTCCTGAAGATAGAAGAGTAGTCACAAAAACTTGCATTTAGGTCACAAACACTTGCATTTAGGTCACTAAATTATGTATTTAGGTGGGGTTGATATCAGGTTAACTTCATATGCAAAAGCTGGATATCATAAAAATAGGTTTAAATATATATATATTAATCAAGAGAAGCATGCTGGTACAATCCCAACTCACAGAAATCATAAAATCCTTATAGACATAAACTTCATCTGGGTCAAAACCAGGGCCATAAGCACCACAGACAGAGCAATAGAATGGCTAGGCAGATAAATTAACTAATATTTGGTGATTTTGAGAACAGCATCAGCTTATACATACCATTAAAAGTCAAGGTTTTTTATTTTCCTAAAACCCTTATGATTTCTGAAGGATTATATGACACTGATGACTGAAGTAATGGCTGCTGAAAATTCTGATTTGTCAACACAGGAATAATGACATTTAGAGTATATTAAAAACAGTTATTTCAAATTGTAATAATATTTCACAATATTGCCATTTTACTGTATTTGTTTTGGAACAAATAGCCCTGTTGAGCGTAATAAATAGTATTTAAACGGTAGTGTACCTAGTAAAATATTAGTGAATTATTATGTAAAATACATACATGCATGCATACAATTCTGAATTTCAGTGTATGGGTACATTCAACTGCTAATTCAAAACTGAAGAACTTTACCTCAGAGTTTTAAATGCCTCCCACGTTTCTGCATTAGTCACTACCAGTGTTGGGGGTAACGCATTACAAGTAACGTGAGTTACGTAATCAGATTACTTTTTTCAAGTAACTAGTAATTAAAACTTTTTAATTTACAAGAGAATATCTGAGTTACTTTTTCAAATAAGTAACGCAAGTTACTTTTTTTCCCCCAATGTATTGATTGACAGCTCTCCTGTCCTCATGTTGAGAGAAATCAGATGTTACTGTAGTTCTAAAATAAATATGAATATGCATTAATTCATCTCACTCACACACAAAAAAACACAGATTCAGTATTCCTCAAAATGAATTAAAATAATGCAACTCAGAATATGACGCAAACCTGCGATAATTAAATGTTAAACAACACAAATATGCTTTAAGTATTTAACCCCATTCTATTAACAGATGTCTTTGCTTCTGACCTTCGATGATCCAGTTCAACCGTACTAATAAGCACAAATTACTCTAGATAAACATTTGTGTCTTTTTTTTTTATTGCTGAAGTGTTGAAATGTCTTTCTTCTGCATTCTACTGTATGGACGTAAATTTACTTTCCCTTCGGCCTGAGGCTTATTCATTTCACGTTTGGTGTGAATAGGCTTAGATATTTGCCAAAAATATAACTTTTTTATTTTAAAAACAAAGCCCTGTCCAGATTTAAAAAGTAACGCAAAAGTAACGCAATGCATTACTTTCCATAAAAAGTAACTAAGTAACGTAATTCGTTACTTTTTTATGGAGTAACGCAATTAATTACTTTTAAAAGTAACTTTCCCCAACACTGGTCACTACAAACATGTTTTACAGCTCGTTTGTCCAGAAAATCAATCTGAACCGCATTTTAAAATCAGTTCCGTGTCAAAAGTGTAAACAAATACAGCGTAGGTGGTAAATTAAACAGCGTGTGTCTACAGTACAAACTGACGGTTGATATCACATTCAACACTTTTAAGACTATTGAGCAGCTTAAATCAAGGGTGCGCAAACTTTTGGAGATATCCCAGTCCTCAGCACTTGCACATGCTGGACGACTATCTTCTCGGGGTTAGCTTTCTGGAGAGAACTTATCTCTGCAGGAAGGTACATTGAGAAACTCTCATGGACTGAACACAACATAAACTATTGTAGACACGTTCAACTCAAGTTAAGGCTCACCTCAGAGAAGTTGACAGCCAGGGGAATTGTCCCAGCCACATAGCAGCCGACTAGCATAGCCAGAGACAGCAGACTGATGGAGCTGAAGTCATCCATTTCAGCTAAAGATACACCGCTGTCTCAGTCGGAGAATCACTTTAGAGTTTAACAGCAGATCCTGTACAATCGACCGATGTCTGGTGCCAGCAGATCCTTCTTAACGTACTTGGATTGGTGTATTAGCTGGTTAGCTAGTCAGTTTTATGCATGTATCCTTACAAATCAGACGATTAAACACGAACACCCACTGCTGATCTGCTGTAAAGTCGGTTCGGAGTTCTTGGTACATTGACCTGGTCGATTATCTGAACGCTGTTGCTCAACTTTAATCACACAGAATCACGTCGCGCTTAGCAAAGGCTAACTTAAATCATAGCAATCGGTCTGCGATTAAACAAACAAATCAACAGATTTGTGAATTGTTTTCATAGTCTACTTCTCTGATCTCAGGCTGCACTTAATGGCATTGTGATTCCTTAACAGGCGACACTGTTTTGTCGCAGAAAACCCATCTAGTTTGTTACCTATTCCGCAGTATCGACCATCACTGACCACCAGCTAGCCGAGTGTAATGTTGGCAGTGTGATTAAAGCACTTCCGGGCCACATCGCCGTCAAAACAAAAGCCCCCACCCCTCTTTAAATTACGCCAAATAACGTCACCAAGACGCACAAAATACTTGTAGTGTAGCCAACACAAATGCTTAAATTCATCCCCAATATTTAAGGTATTTTTAGTGGAATTTGATTGTCTCTGAAATTTTTACGAAACAAAAAGTCATTAACATGTTAAAAATATTATGACATTATTTTCAGTTCCAGTTACTAATTAATGTCACACTTTGTATAGCACTGACTGTCTTATGCTATGCTCTGTTTTTTTATTAGTTATATTTTCATAAAACAATAAACTTGTAGTGTAGCCTACTACAAACTTTAAAAGTATAATAAATAAATAAAATAAAAGCACTTGCTGATAATGTAATAGTAAGTGCATAAATAACTGTATTTATATTTTTAGTGTACCTTTGATCAGTGGCATATGTATTTTTAAAAAGTGCACTCTGTAATCATGCACTGATCTATATAATCTCAGTTACAGATCAGTGTAATCATGTCAAATTAAAAGTGTAATTTTAAAGAACATTTTAAAACAATATGTTTTAAAAAAAAAATCTTTTGTCATGCTTTGAGGAAGTAGGCTACACTTATTTTGATGTGGTGACTAACCTACTAAATCACATGTAAAGTTCTTTATTATAATTTTAAATGTAGAGTTTTTTTATTAGTTATATTTTCATAAAACAATAAACTTGTAGTGTAGCCTACTACAAACCTTAAAAGTATAATAAATAAATAAAATAAAAGCACTTGCTGATAATGTAATAGTAAGTGCATAAATAACTGTATTTATATTTTGAGTGTACCTTTGATCAGTGGCATATGTATTTTTAAAAAGTGCACTCTGTAATCATGCACTGATCTATATAATCTCAGTTACAGATCAGTGTAATCATGTCAAATTAAAAGTGTAATTTTCAAAAACATTTTAAAACAATATGTTTAAAAAAAAATCTTTTGTCATGCTTTGAGGAAGTAGGCTACACTTATTTTGATGTGGTGACTAACCTACTAAATCACATGTAAAGTTCTTTATTATAATTTTAAATGTAGTGAGTTAGTATATGATAGTAGCCTACGTTTAAAGTTAATATATAGGCTATTTTACATATAGCCTACTGTAAACAGGGGCGCGTTTTATTACATCTTAAATTGATTTTTCCGTACATTAACTGACAGTCACCACTGATAAGCTACCACTAAATATTGTAGAAACTTAATTTGCTGTAAAGTTGCTTTGCAATGATTTGTATCGTGAAAAGCGCTGTACAAATAAACTTGACTTGACTTGACTTAAGATAACCAAAGGCCCCTGGGCTACAGCATTACAGTAGGCCCCCTGACCCCAGAAAAACTCTTTTTTTTGTTAAGCTTCCTAACAATTATTTGTCAAAATTCGTTTTTTGTGTTGTTAATATGCCAGTTAACATTCACAACACTGTTCTGTGTAAAATGTGAATATAAGCGAATATGCAAATTCACTCTTTGCCACAAGGTGGCGCTTTCGGAACAGCAGAATTATATAGACCTTACATAAATAAACACTACGGGCATCATGCGGAGGTAATATGAAAGGAAAATGTCATCAAAACTTTCCTGGCTGGAATGTGAGTTTACAGGTATGATTTAAACACCATAAATCACACAAAATATTAATTCATCATCAGTAGATCAAAACAACCTGGCATGTTGACATAAATGTGGGTTATTTGGTGATTGCTAACTGCGTTTTTATTTGGAAACATGACATGCTCGCGTTTAATTAGTTAAATCACAGCGTATAAAGTTTAATGATCACATTTAAGCAATAGGACAATTCCTATTTTTCCATCCCCAGATTTAAAATTGAGATTTTGAAGCAGCAGTATTTATGGACACACAGATTACATCCAAGCAAGTTACAGAACTCTCACTGGCTACGTTTACATGCACCATTTTTGGTTCAATCGGATCTGAATTCATTCCGATTGATGAATCTGAATGTAGCGTTTACATGAACGCTAAATAAAGTGATCGGGTTGATGTGCGCGTTTTTGTCACAATGCTTCAAATCTGATTTTTTTTTTACATGCGCACACTGCACAAAAAACAGAGTTTCTCACTGTTTGCACATAAGAACCACTCTCATACACGGTTTCTTTATTTGTTTTTAACAGCAGAATTAATATTTATCCATTTATGGATACGTATACATATAAACCGCTGTGCTGTACTGCCCATATTTATCACGCAAAAAATGCCCCTCCCCGTGCCCAAAACGGGTTGCCTGTGGATGAGAATCCAAAACAAGGACTGGTGGGAGGTTGTCCTGCTCCACTTCACAGTTGCCCAATGAAAGGAGAGTTTTATAATGACAGTACAGGCATTTATACAACACTTTATTCAAAAGGAAGAACCGCTCGTTCTGCGCGTCATGCGTCATTACGCGATTTCTGCTTCTCTGCACATGCGCAGTCCTTTCAGTTTCGGGGTGCAATCCGATCGAGTGTTTACATGCACTCTCAATCATATGAGAAAAGGAATAAACCACCCCCTTCAATCCGATCGAAATTTCATTCTGATCGAGCTCAATCGGAACGATTAAGGTGTTTACATGAAGACTTTTCAGTCCGATTGAGCCGTCAATCCGATTACAAACGGATTATTTGGTTGCATGTAAACGTAGCCACTTGTATGACATTACAGAACGTTGTCCGGTCCAGTTCCGTTCACACAGCAGTGTTGTTTTTCTGTTAATCTGCGTGTTGATGTAACAGAGGCCAGCGGTAGGTGCTGTGCAGGTAAAACATCTTTAGCCTCCTTGTTAGTGCGTCCGCCTCCCATGCCGGAGACCCACTCAGAAAGAGGCGTGGCGGTGAGGACCCGGGAGGGAGGGGTTACATTGGTGCCGTGACCCAGATGGGAGTGAGGCTTAGGGGGGTGAGTGAAACAGAGGCCAGCGGTAGGTGCTGTGCAGGTAAACCTCACTCCCCTTCTCTCAAGAGGCATGCTAGTGGCTGCAGTCTTTAGCCTCCTTGTTAGTGCGTCCGCCTCCCATGCCGGAGACCCACTCAGAAAGAGGCGTGGCGGTGAGGACCCGGGAGGGAGGGGTTACATTGGTGCCGTGACCCAGATGGGAGTGAGGCTTAGGGGGGTGAGTGAAACAGAGGCCAGCGGTAGGTGCTGTGCAGGTAAACCTCACTCCCCTTCTCTCAAGAGGCATGCTAGTGGCTGCAGTCTTTAGCCTCCTTGTTAGTGCATCCACCTCCCATGCCGGAGACCCGGGTTCGAGACCCACTCAGAACGAGGTGTGGCGGTGAGGACCCGGGAGAGAGGGGTTACATTGACATAAAGATACTCTTGTGCTGTGGTTATTTACTAGCGAATGCAATTTACATTCCGCTTACAGTATACGGATTGAACACGTGGAACATACCAACTATACAAACTGTGTGGGAGAACCTAAATTGAGCCATTCACTATCAAGGCCACTACAACCAAGGCATCGCTAAAAATGAGTGTGTGCGTTTGTTTACAGAACGCTGTTGTCACTACTCCCATATAAATAATTATTCAAAAAATATAATTTCCCTGCAGCCAGTGGGCCCCCTTTCCCTGGGCTTCAGCCCCTTGAAGCCCGTGCATTAATGCGCCCCTGACCGTAAACGTAAATCACAACTTTATCATTGTAAATGTGTAATTACAGATATATTTAAATACATAGGCCTACATATTTAACAGTAGTGACATTAAAGTAGCTTACATCTTAGTTTAACATAAATACTTGTTCATCCAATGACTATATAGACTAAGTATAACATTAATCATAAAGATCTACTTAAGTGGGTCAAAAAAGCACCAATTCAACTAATTTCATAATACATAATTGCATACTAAACTATAATACAGTTTCATTTAATTCTAAACAACATTGCATTCAGTTCACGCTTGAGTATATTCTTCTAAAGTATATTATTTCCATAATAAGTGCTCTTAAATTAAAATTAAATTAATAAATTAAAGGAAATAAAATGGTAGTTTGAAACCAGGGGGCCACAAGATAATTTAAAAATAAGTTATATTGAAATAATACTATATGCTTATAATCTGACAAGCAATCAGTTGTCATTTAAATTTGTCCCCTATTGCTTTTGTTGAAGGACACATATATTCCTGTTGAAAAGACCCCACCTTAGATCAACATAAACTTCCATGCTGGTTTATGCTGATTTGATGGTTGTCTTGTTAATGGACTAGCATGGACAAGTAGCTGGTTGGTTGACAAAATACGTTTTGTTTAAGTCACTTAAGGTAAGGTGGGAACGCAGCGTCCTATGGTGAGGGACCAGCTAAGATAGTCTATGCACATGATTAAAAGCAAAACTAAAATCTAAAACATAAATGGCTAAAAGACATTGGGATTTCATTTAAATTCATGCTGACAGGCCTCAGGTCTAACTAAGTCTGTCAGTCCCAATCCTGATGTCAGGAGACCACGGGAGTATTTAGAACATCACTCATGTAGAACGCTGAGTGTTCTCTGCTTCTGTTCTCAGTCAGAACAGCCGCATTTTGCTTACTGTTGGATTAGGAAGATCAAAGAGCTTATAATGTATTTTAGAAATGGTTACACTTAATATTTACAAGGCGATAAAAAACTAAATTCGGGGGCGTTTGATAAGAGCAAAGGTCTGAACATATTAAATATCACCTTAGTTGACTTCTTACCCTTCAAAATGGCTAACAGCCAATTCTCACAGGCTGCTGACTGCCCTGGGCTTCATGCTGAAAGGTTCACAGTGCCAGAAACAAAGCACTGCAAATGTAGCACTGATATTGATTGAAGAGTGCCTGAATGTGTGCCAATGACCGTTGGCATGGTGTAAAATCCACAAAGAAATGAAAAATGTAATTTATTCCAAGCGCTAATATTGCGTTCTGACTGCCTTATTGCAGTTTTGTACGCTATTGTTGTCACTGTTACTATTTATTAAACACG